CACAAGGAAAATGGGACTCCATGTGACACCCCGTATTTTTTATAAAATAAATTATAGTACCGATATTAAATATTTTTAGTAAAAATATTTATATAGCTATTTAATATAAAATAGGCTCGGGTCTATTTAGTATTGTGAACCGGTATTTTGGTACCCAAATGCCTTAAGCCCAAAATGGTTTTTAATTACCTAAAAGCCTATATAATATTATAAGCCTATATGTTGTATGAATAAGTATGTATTATATTGTGAGTCCAATGCTAAGCTCAAGTTTAGTTATTTTCATATGGAGTCTTGAACCAAGATGAACCCAAGAACTTAACTCTAGCCCAACCCAATCCCTATTTGGAAACCTAGCCCTTCTATATCTAGAATATTATGTGTATAGTATGCTTTTACTTAAGAGATGTGCAGCCACTCCATTTCAGCATTTCCCGTCTCCCTCCCTTTCGTTTTCCGGCAGTGAGACGAATACATGAGCAACAACCTTCTTCACCCTCCATTTAGACCAAACGAACCTCCCTCTATGTATCTCTTTTTCCCTTCCGGCTTGTCTCTCCCTCAAGCTCAAAAGAAGAGCAGTTGCGTCGTCCCTCTCTCTCTCGTTGATGGCAGTGCAGCAACCGAGCGGCGACGACGGCTTCCGGCGGCGGGATGTGTGATAGAGGCGTTTGCGGTGGTCTTCTCCGGCGAACCAAGTGCGGCTTCCCTCCTCTGTTTCCGGTGGCACGGCTTGGTCTCCGACGGAAGGAGGTGGCGTGGCAGTAGGAGTGCGTGGTTTCAGGCGGTGAACGTGGTTGGAGCTTGGCGTCGCAGCGGGCAGGTGCACGAGTGAGGGAGTCTACCCGCGGGTTCTACGGTCTCCCTCCGGCGACCTCTCCGGTGGTGGATGGCATCGGGTAGTGGCTGGTGGCGTTTGGTTTTGGCATCGAGGATGGTGCAGTGGTGGCTGTACGTAAGGAAGAAGACGAAGATGATGTTGGTGAGCTTTTGTTCTCGTTGTTCTTGTTGTGTATTAGATTATTTAGTTTGTCGTTGATTAAGGTTAACAAGTGGTAGTTTAATGTGGTGGTAAGGGGGTGCTTAGTGATAGAAGCTGGCCAGGGTTCGATTCCTCTTGACTTAAGTACTAATTTGGTTGTTTTTGGTTATTAGATCTTAACTAGTATTTGTCCCGTGCGATGCACGAAAAAATATGTTATAAAAATATACCCTATATGAGGTTTATTTATATATAAAATATTTGTTATTTAATAATTATTATGTGTGAATTCCTATGATAAAACTTATGAACATAAATATATTTACAATTAAAATAATATTTAAGGAGGGTGATTACTACAAATCTTAAACTATATTAAAAATTTAGTACATAGTATTTAATATTACAAATTTTTAAGAACTTAATAAACTACAATAGTAATTGAATTACAATTTTAGAGTCACCACGGATCACAATTTTTAGACCTTTGAGATTTCTAACTCTAGATATAGCAACATACAATTGACCTTTAAAGACCAAAATCCAATCTTAGTTCAAACATTGATTTTTTCTTCCAAATACTATCGAATTAAGTGTGTAATCAATAAAAGATGAGAACTAAAAATTCGAGAATATAATCTTAATGTTACTAAGCCTACTTCACGTCAATTAAGTTGGAGAGTGTTGTTGGATAGTATCCGATGAATCCATGAATAACGCATCTTTGTCTCCGTAGTCCTCAATATGCACATCAACAATCTTAAATATTAGGCCGCCTAGCTATGCCATAATTTCAAACTTATGAACTTTGAGGTTGCATGCAATAAAAAGTATATTTTAAATATACTAAGGGTACATTATATATGTATGTAAGGTACTTTCAATATAAAAATAATGTATTTTTAATATATTAACAATGTATTTGATATTCATGATCCATACAATTATGTGGACAATCGTTTACACAATAATTTGCCAGTAGAAATTGAAATATAAATAAATAAATAAATAAATAAATATAAATATATATATATATATATATATATATATATATATATATATATATATATATTTATATATATATAAATTATTGCAATTATTATCATTATTATCATTATTATTATTGCAATTATTATTATTATTATTATTATTATTATTATTATTATTATTATTATTATTATTATTATTATTATTGTTATTGTTATTATAATTAACAACATTATTATTATGGTCTTGTGAAAATTAAATATTGATTATCACCATTTAATTTTCACAAAACCATATAGCATTATTATATATAGGATTAGTAGATGTATCTCTTAATTCTTGATTATTAGCTTGCCTATTAGTGTTTAATGTTGTGCTTAAGTTACCAATAGGTTGCCTAGCTTAGATGGTTAAGCTTGTGGGTAATTTAGGGTGGGATTAGAGTTCAAATCTCCTAATAAGTTTAATTAGTTTTAATTAGTACTTTTGTTAATAGTCGAGGATCGGTTTGATTCACAGGTTCCCGGTAGCTTGGTTTTATGAGTTGAGCCTATGTTGGCGTTGGTTTTGGTTGGATAAGCGAATGAGGTAACCCATGCTCTACAAAACCTATTTTGCTTACCTATATGTGATTTCTTGGATTCTACTTGTGTTTTGCTATGAAATGTGAGTGTTTGTGCATGTTCTTGTGAGAATACATATCTAGAGCTTGTGTTTAGGGTTCTTGTGTGCCATTGCTTGGCATTTCCTATGATTCAAGTCATTTTGTTGTATTGGGTGAGATTTGACATGTTTTGGACTTGAATTTGTGTTTGGAGATGAATTTCACGAAGTGTGATGTTGTGGTACAGGTTGTACCCGCGGGCGGAACGGCAGGTAGGAGGCCCACCCGTCGCCCACCCGCGGGGTACACAAGGTGGGAGGCCTGTACCCGCGGGCGGAACCACGGGTAGGGGCCTACCCGTGGGCCTACCCGCGGGTACACAAGTGGAGTTGTTTGGGGGATTTGTTCCCTGTGATTCTTTTGACTCGGTATTTGGTCTTTTGACTTCCCGATGTTCTTTTGTGGAACTATTTGAGTGTCTTCTTGATGTTTCGTATGTCTAGAACTATGTGGCAGGTATCCATGTAGGACTTTGGTGTCTTGAATCGTGCTAAGTGTTCAACATTGTGTTTTGTTGAACCGTGATGAGTCTTGTGTGTTCTTCGAAACTACGTTTGGTTTACCCGTTTGATGAGCATGCTAGTTTGGTATTTAAATGCTAGCGTGTGTGTTGTTTGTACCTTCTTATTGGTTGATGATAACTTGTGTTATTCATTGTTATTCATAGCGTGTGTGCATGTTTCATACCTTCGTTGTAATCCGTTGATTGATTCCTGTTGAGGTGTGATGCGTGTGTGGCTTTACCTGGATTGCACGATCAGTGGTATACTGGTATGGGACACTAGTCACCCAGGTATTGCAGCGGTCCTCATGGTGGCCGTGACGTGATTATGGAGTTGTGACCTGTGTGTCAGGTTCACGTATTTTTGGGAAAGGCGTGTGTCGCCGAGGCGTGTGTCGCCATGTGTGTGTACGGTACCTTGTGTACTATGAAATTGGTGGCTTTGTTGGTGGTTTGTTGGTGGGGGACGATGGTCCCAGTAGGGAAAAGGTTGGACTAAGAAGTACAGGGGTCCTGGAGGTAATGGTTGGAAAGAAGAAACAAGGTTGGGGGTAGCCATAAGGCTGGAACCGGGCATAAGGAAGGCATATCAACTCGTGATGGGTGATGTCACGAGGGCTATTATACCCACTGTGGTGAGTTCTTGTCTTGTGACGTGTGTAGTCACAAAGGCATGTGTTGCCTTGGCATGTGTTGCCGGTTGTGTGAGTCTTATTCTTCTGCGTTGTGCTTGTCGGGTTTTGATCTATTGAGTGATGATAGATCATGCCTTGACTCTTTTGGGAGTCACGTTGTTCTTGTGGTCTTGGGATGTGTTCCCGTGTGTTGTTGTTGAGAGTGTTGAGTCTTACGTTGGCTTTTACTCTTGGTTTTACACTTATATATATGTATTCTGTTTCGAAAATGGTTTTACAACTTATACCTTACTTATGTATGTTATTTCACATGTATTGGTGGGTTACCAGCATTATTCGCTGACCGGGTGTCGTCCCATGTTTTATTGTGTTCTTTCAGGTGATGTCTAGGCGAGTGCGCAGTCTAGTGCCTGTTAGCATAGTTTCTCTCGTTGGTTTTATGGCCTGTGTGCTACTCTAGTTGTAGACTTTTGAGACTTTGGATAGTTGTAAACAATGCAGATGTTGTCGTAGCGTTCATCCTTGTTGGTGAACGTGGCATAACACCCCATGACTTGGATTTATGTTTATCCAGTTATCTTTTAGTCTTCCGCTGTGTTTGTTGTTTAGTTGGGTTATCTGCATGTTTAAGGCTTTTAATTTGCCCGTTTTTAGGGGGTGTTACACTCCATATCTATGGACTTCGTGGGAGGCTTACCGGTAACCCGTTCCGGTAAGGATAAAATCTGGGTAATAGTTGATCGCTTGACCAAGTCCGCTCGCCTTATCGCGATGAAAGAAACATGGACAATGACGCAGTTGGCCCAAGCCTTTGTTAGTCAAGTGGTGAAATATCATGGAGTACCTAAAGATATAGTCTCCGATCGAGATCCAAGGTTCTTGTCACAGTTTTGGAAGTCCTTACAAGTAGCCTTGGGGACCAAGCTAAATCTCAGTACCGCCTTCCATCCGACCACAGACGGACAAACAGAGAGGACTATTCATACTATCGAGGACATGTTGAGGGCATGCATGCTGGATTTTCAAGGATCATGGGAGGATCACCTGGATTTAATAGAGTTCTCCTATAACAACAGTTATCACTCGAGTATACGCATGGATCCTTATGAAGCTCTTTACGATCAAAAGTGTCGCAGTCCGTTGTGCTGGGAGAATATGGTCAATCTGGTAGTTTTGGGACCGCAGTTCTTGCTTGACACCGCAGAAAAGGTTAAATAGATTCAGGGAAGGATGAAAGCAGCACAAGATCGTCAAAAATCCTACGCCGACCTAGCAAGAAGGCAAGTAGAGTTCGCGGTTGGGGATAAAGTTTGGCTGAGAGTATCTCCCACTCGGGGAGTGATGAGGTTTGGAAGGAAGGACAAGCTAAGCCCCCGTTTCATAGGACCTTATGAGAGGGTTGGGAACCTAGCTTATCGGTTGGCTCTACCTTTGGAGTTGGAGCGAGTCCATAGTGTCTTCCATGTATCTCAGCTTAAGAAATATGTTCACGACCCGACACATGTTCTACCACCGGAAGTGATTCCTTTGGACGATGATATGTCTTATGAAGAAAGACCGCTCAAGATCCTGGATTTTAAAACCCGGGATACGCGTAGGAAGTCGGTGAAAATGGTGAAGGTTTGGTGGTCGCATCATGGTGTAGAAGAAGCTACTTGGGAGCTGGAATCAACCATGAGGGAGCGTTACCCAGAGTTGTTCTCGGCAGGTACCTTGTCTTACCGTTTGCTAGTTGCTTGTTGCTTGCCTTGTGTGCTTGTTCTTGCTTGTTTGTTTAGTTGAGTAGTTAGCTTTGTTGGTTGGTGCTTTGAGCTAGTTGTTAGTTCTTGGTTGTTGGTTAGAAGTTGGTAGTGGTGTTTGGTTTAGAGTTTGATATGCTCATCATATCCGTTGGTTTCATTCTTTCAATCTTGGTGTTGATATACTTTCTTGCTTGCTTTGATGTCAGGTGGAATCTTTAGATGAAACTTTGCAAGGCTAGGGAATTCTTCTTCTAGCTTGGAGAGAAAGCTAAGATTTCTTTAGAGAGAAGGTGGAGTGTTTATGACTTGGCTAGCAAGGGAAATGAGTGAAGTGTCTTGCTAGGAAAAACTTGAGCATCAAAACATGTGTGAAAGGTCAACTTTACCCTTCAATCCTGGATTAATTATTTAATTAATTCCATTAATAATAATTAAAAAGGTCGGATTTAATTTGGTTAGGATTCCCTTTAATTAATTAATGCGGTCCACCATGGATTGTGGACCCTTGCCTAAACTAGAGTCTTAAGCCTATTAGGAATAAAGAGAGTAAACCTTTTACTAGTCAGATTCTAATTAGGAATCCTACACCTATATATCTATTAGGAATAAAGAAAGTAGGCCTTTATTATTCAGATTAAGATTAGGATTCCTGATTCTATAAATAGGGGATTAGAAAGCAATTAGGACCCTTAGCACCAATAGTTATATTACACGAAAATATTCCCGGGAGATTCCTCACCACCAAGCCTAGGGAGATCAATCGGATGGAAATCTTAGAGAAGGACCTTAATAGCCAAGGGAGGATTAATTAAGGCTAAGAGGTAACCCATTTCTCAACAAAACCTATTTTCCTTGCTATGATCTTCTTCTTTGGCTCCTTTGATATGCAATTTCATGCTTGTGTCTTGATAAGGCTTTTTATGATGATTATGAGATAATCTTGATGTTGATGAGATGATCTTGGTATTTATGTGATTTTGATAATCTTGATGTTCATGAGGTGATCTTGATATTTATGTGTTGATCTTGATGATCCTGATTTTAATATGACTAGAGCCCCAAGGTTAAATCATGGATTTCGTATTGTGATATTCTTGGTATATTTGGGCAGGATTTTGCATGTTCGGGCATTGAGTCTTGATTATATGTAGAAGTCATGTTAGGATGTATTTAATGTGATTCTTGATCCATTACTTCATTACTTGGTGTCGTCGTTTGTGTTTAAATGTGTCTGGACATGGTTTCGGGTTCCACGAAAGATCCCGGGACCAAATTATTACATAAGAGTCAGTGGGGGGTAGGTGGGGGCAGGGGTACCCGTCGTTGTCGCATGTTCAGATCATTTTGAGTGAAGATGTATTTCAGGCTTTTATGGTCGGTGTAGATTTTGCATTGTACTCCATATAGGTAATGCCTCCAAATTTTTAGGGTGAACACGATGGCGGCTAGCTCTAGGTCGTGTCTGGGGTAGTTTTCTTCGTGGGTTTTGAGTTGCTTGGATGCATATGCTATTACTTTGCCCTTTTGCATTAGTACGCATCCTAGTCCCTTTTTGGAAGCGTCGCTGAAAATTTCGAATCCTTCCACTCCGAAGGGAAGGGCTAGAACGGGTGCTTTGGTCAGTCTTTCTTTCAATTCCTGAAAGGCTGAAGTGCAATTGTCGTCCCACCGGAAGGGGGTTTCCTTCTTCATGAGTTTGGTGAGGGGTTGGGCTATCTTGGTAAAATCGGGCACGAACCTTCGATAATAGCTTGCCAACCCTAGGAAGCTTCTGAGCTCCGAAAGTGATTTTGGCGTGGGCAATTCCTTGACGGCGTGGATTTTGGTTGGATCCACCTGGATCCGCTCTTTGGTTATCACGTGTCCTAGGAATGCCACGTTGTCTTTCCAAAATTTGCACTTGGAGAATTTGGCGTATAGCTGGTTCTCCCTCAAGGTTTGCAAGGTTGTGCGGAGGTGCTTTTCATGTTCCTCTTTATCTTGTGAGTAAACCAGGATGTCGTCAATAAACACAATGCCGAAGTCATCTAAGTAGGGACAAAATACTCGGTTCATGAGGTCCATGAATATAGCAGGTGCATTGGTGAGTCCGAAGGGCATTACCGTGAATTTGTAGTAGCTATAGCGAGTTCGAAAGGTTGTTTTCTGAATGTCTGGGTCGACCACTTTTATCTGGTGGTATCCGAATCTTAAATCGATTTTTGAGAGCACTCCTGCCCCTTTATGTTGGTCGAACAGGTCATCAATTCGGGGAAGAGGGTACTTGCTCTTTATTGTAACTTGGTTTAGTTCCCTGTAATCGATGCATAAGCGCATGCTTCCATCATTCTTTTTGACAAATAGTACCGGTGCTCCCCATGGTGAGGTGCTGGGGCGTATGTATCCTTTGTCTAGTAAATCCTGGAGTTGTGCTTTTAGTTCCTTCATTTCTTTTGGTGCCAACCTATAGGGTGGTTTTGAGATTGGGGCAGCGCCACGCACCACGTCTTTGGTGAATTCTACTTCTCTGGTTGGGGGTGCCCCGGGGATTTCGTCTGGAAAGACATCGGTGAACTCATTTACCACTGGAATGGTTTGAGGCCCGGTTGTCTTAGTATTGACGTCTTCAACTGAGCACAGGAAGGCTTCGTGTCCCTTGGTTAGGTATTTCTTCATTTTTATCATGTTTACTAGTTTGATTTCCGGGTTCTTGTGGGCCCCGTGGTAGGATACCCGTTTGCCGTTTGGTCCCCGTAAGACCACTTTTTGTTTGCCGCATAGGATTTGTGCTCGGAATTTCCCTAGCCAGTCCATGCCCAAGATCACTTTTATCCCATCTAGCCTGAATTGTATCAAGTTGCTAGGGAACTCCACTTCTTTGATAGTGATCATTATATTTTTGTACATGCGGTCACATTTTATGATTTCGCCGGATGCCACCTTGACTTGTAGTTGTACTCTTGTGTTGGTGTTCAAGCCAAGTCGCGTGGCGAATTCGGCTGCTATAAATGAGTTGGTGGCTCCTGAGTCAAATAGTATGGTGGTAGGGGTGGCGTGTACTAGGAAGGTTCCGGAGACTTTCTTCATTGGATCTTATTGCTGGGGTGTTGGATCCCTCATTGCTTGGTTCACGGATAAAGGGTCTTAGAGCTAGGGATGGGTTAGAGGTTTTTCTTTTTCGGGTAGGCTTGGGTATTGTGGGGGCTGTGGTTTCAGATGAGCTAGGCCGAAAGAGATAGCTATGGTTTTGGATTATTTTGGCTTTGGATAGGGGTATGGCTTTACTCCTCAAGATTTCTCCAATCACAAATCCATAACCCACTTCTTGTTGAAACCAACCATTTACCAAAGGCTTGGCTTTGTCAACATGATCCCGTAGCTTTTCATACAAAAACACTCCCCAATCAACACTGACATTGTTTATGATCACACTCATAACCATTAGTTTTTCTCTTGATAATTTATCACGACAATAATATCTAGACTCAATGCATTTATGAATGATGTCTAACAAGAGTCCATACTCCTTTTTCAAGTCCTTTTTATTGCCGTTTATTTTCGGTGCAAGCGGTGCGTTGGCACCGCGAACTTCGGCCCATGTGGCATCCAAATCAAACTAATGAGTTTCGACTCGTAAGTCCGATTCCTCAAAATGAAAACTCTCCGAAAATCATCTACAGTGATAGCCACATCAACACCTTTCACACTAGTGGTGACCGAATTTTCTTCAACTTTAGCATTCAAATGGAATTCGATCACTTCATCCCTATGAAATCCAACATGTCTATAGGTGCAAAAATTAAGCAACCCACAAGATTCTAAAGAGTTGATAATTTTTACCCCCAAAGATTTGTCTTGAGCTTGAATGTTGAACCCATTGGTGTCGAGGATCATGCCACTTAGTACTCGGCTCGGCCTCTTCGTCCCTCCGGCAGTGATGGTCTCCGTCTCCATTTGAATTTGATCACTATCCATGAGCTTTGAACTTGATTTGAGTGAGATTGGTGAGAAGATGAGTTTTTCGGCAATGGAAGTCCGAAAAATTGAGGGGATTGGGTTTTGTGTTCTAGATGGTTTTTGGGTGAGATTTTGGTGTTGGGTAGTGGGTATTTGTGGTTAGAATGATTTTGTGTAAAGGATTTGGAATGGGTTTTGAAGTTGTTTGAGATTCTTCATCCTTCTTGAGGTCGGCCGGCGAGAATGGAGAAGAAGATGAAGTTCTAATTTTTGGGTTTTCTTCTCCTACCCGTTAGAAAAGAGGGTAAATTTTTGGAAATTACAGCTTTGCCCCTTAGTGGAAGGAGAGAGAGTATTGATCTCTTTGAGGATAAATTCGACCTTCCACATGATTTAAATTTTCCAGCTCAGATTTAAATACTCCATTTGTGGGTACATGGCGCCAAAAATTGTGCTTCAAATAACCGCCAACCTGGAGAAAATCCGATAAAAAAACTCAAAAATAATATGTTAGAGCAAAAATATATTTCAGATAAATATTATCACTTCGATTTCATATTTCAATAAAGCTGATAAAATCTCTAGATTGACAGATATATACCTAATAGTCTGAAAAAGGGCAATTCCAATTTTCAAAATGAATTAAATGGATAAGACTTTCTACAGACCTGAACCTAACCTTTTTGTTGACTTTTGAGAAATCAATTTTAGGCAAGCATACATGCAAGCAAATTGAGAGTTCCCCCTTAATATATGCTGACCCAATCCAAACATGTTCCCCCTTAATTATATATCCAAAAAAAAAAACTTTACTTAATTAAACTAATTAATTGGAACAATCTTAAATTACACATATTAAATATGCTAAAAACGTGACAAATATGTAAGCACATATTAAATTACAAAAGCATGTAAGCAAAATTTCGTAAGTCATAATTAACACATTTAAGCACATATCAATTTTATAAAAACACGTTCGTAACTTAATACATATTATACGCACACAGATATAACATATGCTTCAAAATATTATAAAACACGTAGGTCACATAAATAACACATTTCACATAGTGCGAACAAATTTCAAAATTAAGAGTTTAGAAATGCTTAGCTCATTTCGATCATTCCCATTTCATGCCTTAGAGTTGCAAAACGATATTCACACAACGGCTTTGTGAGAATGTCGACAATTTGATTCTCCGTGGGAACATGATCGATTTTCAAATCTTTCTTTTCGACGTGGTCTCGGATAAAATGGTGTCGAACGTCAAAATGCTTGGTCCGCGA